CTGACTTCCATTCTTTTACTGCATTTTACTACTTCTCTTCATTTCCGTAGCTCTGTATGATTCCACCCAATGCCCATATTTCATTCCATCTCCTCCAGCATTCCCTCCTGTTTTCTCTCCTACACCTACAGCAGGTATCATGGGTCCTATTAAACCCTCCAACAGGAGCAACAGGCTCACAAATAAATTTTATTAGGATGATGTTTAAAAAAAAAAAAGTGAACCGTACAGAGTTTAAGCGTAGAAGTACAGATTATCAAGGCATGCGAAATGCAGTTTAAGATCAGATAGTGTAAGGAATAAATAATCTGCAATATCCCTGATTGGGGGTAAAAGGTTAATGGGTCAAAATACAAACACTGAGATATGAGGGTATGTTGTTCATATGATGGCTATGTTCAGGTGTGGAGTATAATGAGTGGATACGATGATGAGGATGGATTGACCCTCATTTGTTGAGATTTAACATTCACCGAGCTTATGGTTCCAGTTCATATGGTCCAATGGAAAAAGGCTCTCGGTCCCTTTCTTGTAGTCTAATATACACGTGCAGAGACCCTTTCAACTGAGGATCTCCAAGTTCTTTCCAGGTCCAATAAACCCTCACAGTCCCACTACTCCCTATGAGACAGACATTATCCTCCAAAGCAGGCTGAGCAAGGCCCAGGAACACACAAACCCTCCACCTGCAAGCTTCAGAGAACTGGAGAAAGTTTGGGCAAGACTCAGCACTGATGTCAACAGGAGCAACTCCAGAGACTGCAACGAATGCTGGTGTGGCCAGTGTATTTGGATGGCTCTCTCTACTGAATCTACATTAATTAAAGGGGCCAGTTTCCAGATATGTTTCAGAGTAGCAGCCATGCTAGTCTGTATTCGCAAAAAGAAAAGGAGTACTTGTGGCACCTTAGAGACTAACCAATTTATTTGAGCATAAGCTTCCGTGAGCTACAGCTCACTTCATAGCTCACGAAAGCTTATGCTCAAATAAATTTGTTAGTCTCTACGGTGCCACAAATACTCCTTTTCTCTTTCCAGATGTGTTACCAGCTCTCAGTTGAGCCACCTGTTTTTACCTACGTTGTTTAATCTCCTTTGAGATAATGGTATCAATCAAATCTCTTACTTTGCCCAACCAAGGGCAAGGGTCACTAGCAGAGTCATAAAAAGAGATGACTGACCTCAACCAGCAGATGCACTATGTTAAAGAAAGATGCAGAGGGTCAGCGATTCACTCTTCTCTGAGACGAAGAACTTAAGTGGGAGGGAGTGGAAATCAGTGGCAGTGTACAAGGAAGCCCTTCATGGCCTACCAGATAGGGACAGGATGTGACCCATGAGCATCAGAGAGCTACAACAATCACAAAGCTCAAGAGAGATTTTTTTTGCAACTAATTGTAGATGCTTCCAGGCAAAGAGCTTGCCTTTCCAATTGGATCACAGAGAGCCCGGCACACTTTTGGGTGCTCTGTTAACAACACCAGTATACACCAGGCCCGCTTTTCATACTACCAAGAAAGCATCTCTTGTGTTTAGGTGACATAGAGGTTGAACTAAGAACACAATGCACGACCCAGGCTTTTGTCCCCTTGTTGGTCACTGCACTGTTCGGAGACTCCAAACAGGGTTTGCCACCCAACCCTGCACCTCCCCCTAGTTTCTTTCAGAAAGGGGACCCAGCTGGGATACACACGCAGGGCTCACCGCAAGGAAACGAGAGCTCCACAGTTTGCTGGGCTGTCACATTAGGAACCCTCACACCGCCACCTGACTCGGGTCTAAACGGTCATTGCAGCAGGCTGATCTTCTAGCCAAGGGCAAGCCTGCCGCCTGAGAGGGAAGGAAAGCCAGTGTCTCTCTTTTTCAACTATTGACACTGGGGGCTAAAAGCAAGAGGGGGACCACAGTCGTGTAGCCAAAGAGAGGGGACAGCGATTTCCCAGTCCCCACCCGGCACCACCCATAAGCCAATCCTGCTCAGTCATGGCAGGGAGCCTGAACCCCCTTTTCTGGGGGTGATCGCCCCGCCCCCAGCAAACAATGGCTCACCCCGCGCCCTTCCCAGCAGCCTCTCCCCAGAGAAAGACAGACCCACAGGAGGACAGCAGTGGGTTTCCCAGCCAACAGCAGCCCACCTGGGGCCGGGCAGGGGATCGCTGTACCTGGCCCAGCCGGCGGACACACCCCACCCCGCCAGCAAGGGGAGGAAAAGGTCACCGTAGCCGGAACAAGCCTCCCTCCCTCTCGCCCCACACCGCCGGCGGGGGCTTCCCACGCCCCAGGCCGGGGACGAGCCAGCCCGGGGGGACCCACTGGGATGAGGCGCGGCCGCTGCAGGGGGGGCGCCTGACCCACGGCTCCCCCCCCAACACCCCACACTTACCCCTTGGCCCCACAGGCCTCTCCGCGCCCCGCCTCGGGCGGGACCGTCCCGCAGCGGACCCCGCGCGGCTGGTGCGGCGGCGGCGGCTGTCAGCTGCGCATCGCCCCGCGGGCTCGGCGCCCGGCTCTCAGAGGCGCGCAGCGGGCTGCGCCTCCCGCATGGCGGCGGCAGGGGCCGAGCTGAGAGCCGGGCGGCGGGCGGCTTCCTGCTGCTGCTGCTGCTGCTGCTGCTGCTCCCCCCGGCGCCGCTGCCGCTGCCGCTGCCCAGAGCAACCTGCCGCCGCTGCAGCAATGCGGGCGGGGATCAGCCGGGCGGGAGGGAGGGGAGGGGGCGGGGCCTGGGCCTGTGGGAGCCGCGCGGCATGCTGGGAGCTGTAGTTCTTTTGTCCACCTCCTACACGTGGTCTCCTGCCGAGAGCAGAGGGCGCGTCACTCCCCCTCTTCCTACTTCCCGGGCATTGTTCTCCTCCCCCCGCCATCACACATGCCCCCCCTCCCCCCGGGGCAGATCTGAGTGAATTGTACCCCCTCCCCTCCCCTCCCCCGTCCCCCCCACATCTCTGTCCGGTCTGTCAGCGCCGCCGCCCGGCCCCGTCTGGCATCAGCCGCAGCGTGCGCGGGGCTGCAAAAGTGTCTGGAAGGAGTCAGGAGGCGGCGCGCGACGGGGGAAGTTTGGCAAACTCTGCGCCGTGGGGCGCCTGGCGCTGGGGGCAGGGTGCGCTGGGGGGGGGGCGGGCGGCGCTGGGGAGCGGAGCGGCTCATTAAACGCAGGCGCCGGACGCTGGAGCCGAGCGGTGCCTTGCAAAGGTCAAGGAGGGGATGTGGAGGAGGCGAGGTTTATCCGGCAGGCTCTGTGGCGCAATGGATAGCGCATTGGACTTCTAGATCGATGACAGACGAAGTCATTCAAAGGTTGTGGGTTCGAGTCCCACCAGAGTCGCATTTTGCACCCTCCCAAAGTAATCGTGGGCAAGCGCGGCTGCTGGAGGGTAACAGCGGGTCGCCGAATCGGTTCGTTTTTGTAGGACGTCAGTTTCCGACCCGCGCGCTTTGCTGTGGCATTTTTAAACATCAGTTAGGTACTTGGAAGGTTGGTGTCGCTACGAAACCGATGTGTTTTTGAAGGATCTTACTAGAAATCCAGGGGACCACTTATGAAGCTTTACCTCGAAATGTGTTTTAATTTTGGCCAATGTTATTTTAAAACTCCCCGGCTTTGTGGTGAAGTATTTTTAGCTGGTTAGTTGTGAAGTTATTTTTAAATTGGTTCTTTTTTAGGACGCTGTTTAAAACACACAAAACCTGATTAAACAGGGAAACATAAAAATTACTCTGATATTTTTCCTTCAAAGGCTGTTTGGTTTTGTTTCTTTGATGTTATTTCAAGAGCAAGATTTGTTAGGGGAAGAAAGGGTTAGGAGTAAAAAATATAGGTTTTTAACCCCATTGAAACGATCCTTTGTTTAAATCAGTTTATTTTGAGGATGTTTTTTAAGGCCCAGGTCCTGCAAACACTTAAGCATGTGGGTAACTTCAGTCAAAAGAGTAGCCCCACACCTAAATGTCAAAGTTATTCAGCTGCTAAAGCTCCAGCCCTGCACCTAGGTGAACTGCTGAGCTGGCATAGAGACTATTAAGGATGAATTGCAGAATTGAGTGCAGGATCAGGGACTAAAATGTTATTTTAGTGGCAGATGTGGGGGGTTGCATATTCTTACTTTCATCTGCCCCTGACATTTCTCCATACTCAGAGGAGATTACAAGTTTGATTTAAAACCCATTGAAGAAAATAGGAGTCTTTCCCCTGAGTGTATTGGATTTTTAAGCCAGTCCCTAGATCCCTTTGAGGCTAATCTGAAGATATTCCATGGCTGAAAATTAATTTTAATCAAGGGGACATTTTTTTTTTACCCTACAAGGGTTTCTGAAACCATCCACAACACTGCTAAATAAAATAAAACCCAATACCTTGGACTGAGATGTAGCAACTTTGAGCCAAGACACGATATTTCTAACATATTGATGGCCAAGTTATGAATCCCTGAAAACACCAATTTATGGTTAAATGATGAGCAATAATAATGTAACAAACCTAGGCTGGCTCTACCAAAAGTTCACCCAGTTCATCAGGGAGCAGCACAAACACACAAGAGCAGCAGACTCATTAATGTCAGTATTGAGCTAACTCCCTGTCTAGGAATCTGCCCTTATTGTTTCAGTTGTGAACCTTTTGAATGGTGGGAGGAATACTTCAGGACATCTCTATTTTCCCTGACTTTATCGGCACACATTGATCTTAAAGGGTCTGTGTCCATTTTCCTTCCAGCCAAGGAGTGATTTTTTTCTATCCTTCATTATAATGGGCATGTCACTTCACTGATCTCTGCCTCAGTTTCCCCATCTGTAAAATGAGAATAATGATACTGACCTCCTTTGTAAAGTGTTGCAATCTACTGATGAAAAGTGCTATATAAAAGTTAGGTATTAATTATTATTATTATAGAGGCACTAACACACTTGCAGTTAAAGTTGTATTGAAAAATGCATTTAAAGCGTGGATTATGGGTCCGATCCAACTCCTGTTCAACTCAAATGAAAGACTCTCATCAATCACAATAGAAGCGGGATTAGGCTTTTATTTTCATGGATGTATAGAAAAACATTCAATATTTCCAAACTCATCCCACTTACTGATGGGCCCCAGGTTAAGTTCTTGTGAAAGTTGTGGGGCAGCTGTAAATGTGAAATTTAATATTATGATTGAACTTTTATATTGCAGTAGCACCTAAAGACCAAACAGCTCAGGGTCTTATGGTGCTTGCTGCTGTAGAAACAGGGTAAATATCAGGCCCTGTCCCAAAGAGCTGGCAATCTATCAGACTCCTTCCTGAAAGTCAGCACCAGTTTTATAGCATTTCTTTGTGTTCTTCTAGATTAATACTGTCAAAATTCAGACACCTCAAAAGGTAACCCATTGATAGAGACAGACCTTAGGCCAAATTCTCTTTTCACTTACACCAGTTTTACACTGTAACTTATCTGGGGCTTCTCCTGATTTACACCAATAGGAAAGGAGAATCCTGATTCTACATGTACTTTGATTACAAGTGAGTTTATTGAACTGTCATTTATGAAAGATGCAGTGGTTATGTCATAACATTTAACAAAGAACCTTAAGCTCAGGATTTCCTATGGAGTTCAGAAATATAGCCCTAACTCTGTTAATGCAGTTTTGTTTGTATAGATGAGATAATAGATATACACACCCTCCATGTAGGGCAGTGAGATCCATGCAGAGCTATGTGATAAATGGACTTACCATGTCTCTTGACAGGTACCAAGCGGATAACAGGGCTCTCACTTTAGAGCTTATGATCAAGGCTAGGGCCACAAGATTATACCAGTTGAGACCCAGATCGGGGCCTGGCCATTAGAACTGGAGCACTTTTGGGGGACTTCACAGAAGCAGGGACGGGCTCAGCCTTTCCACTGATTTGGGAGGCAGCTCCAGTGTGACATTTGACACAGTTTTAGAAGTGAGTGAAACCGCAAAGGGAGGGATCAAGGGAAGAGGTTTGGAAGGAGGGTGAAGAGTGGAGGAAGAGGAGAGGCAGGGCTGGAGTTACAGAGTCCTCTGTAGATGAAGAGATGACACTTCCCCCACAGGCCCTGTGGGAAGGTACAGGTACCCGGCCAGACCCCTCCAGTCTAGCTCCCCCCACCCCAATGACTCTTTGAAGTGCATTCCCTCCCACACACAGCTCCCCAAGCAGGACAGGAGAGTTGCACTCCCTGCTCAGCCTGTCCGTGCACATTCTGGGCTCTGGGCCATCTTCTCATCCCCCTGTTCTAACTTCCTCTGCAGAATAGACCCACCAGCCCCTCTGCTGTTTCCTGGCATGAGAACAGAAGTGGGGAGGGTGAGAGGCTGGGCTAGGCCAAGCTCGCTGCAAGCGTTGTCTTCCCTTGCCCCTTCCGACCCCTCCAGCCTCTCTGAGAAGCACCTGACCATGAGTCAGCGTCCGGGGACAGCCCAGTTTCCAAAAGGAAAAGGGAGCCAGAGCTGCAGTCAGTGCCATGATTCAAGTAGCAGGAAGGCTCGGGCAGTGCTCCAGGAAAGCGGGATGCATTTTGGAGGGACAGAGATGAGAGGAGGAGGTTGCAATACACAAGAGGGAGCATGAAGAGAACAGACTGTGGCCTCAGAAGGGACAAGTGCCAGGTGCAGGTGTTTACGAGCCTCCCCAGGCCGCTGGAGGGAGTTCGACAAGTCTGTCTGGCTCTCACCACTGGTAGCTGAGCACTGCAGCAAAGACCGTGAGACTGTGAGCAAGACCTCACAAACGCCTGCAGTGGCTTCCAGACACCGTTCACAGAACAGGAAGCCTTAGACCACAGTGCACTGGTCCTCTGTGCAGAAGGTACACGTACCTCAGTGCTCTGAGAACGTGTGGGGAGGCGGATGCTGTGCTGGGTCTGTCGCTGGAGGGACACATCCAATGTTTTTGGAAGCTCTTTGCATCCCATTGTGGAAAGCCAAAATGCTGTCTGCACGGTGTGTGCTCTGTGCGGAGGGAGTGCGGTCTAATTGGTAGGGCATGGGGGCTGGAAATCTAGACTCCCAGGTGCTAGCCCTGGCTCTGCTTCTAATCCACTGGGGGACCTTAGCAAAGTCACTTGTCCTCTTTGTCACACAGTTCCCCACTGGTAAATTGGGGATGATAAGATCCGTCTCTCAGAGGGTTGTGAAGATTAAACTGATGTTTGCAAAGGCACCCTGTGCTCCATAGGCACTGTGTCCCATCCCACCTGTGGCAAAGTACTACAAATGCAGGGAGAAGCGATTAATCCCAACAACTGGCTGTGAACACTGGCTGAAAAGAGCTGATCCAGGACCAAACCCCAGGTTATCAACAGTCTGCAGTGTGTATGCTGGCGACAAGGTCTGGCTCCCAATTGCACCAATGCTGCCCTATCAGAGAGCAGGTAATTCTGCCAGCACAGCCACTATGGAAGATGCACATACAAAGCCTGCTTTGTGTCTGCATTCCACTTGGGGGACATGTTGCACACACACACACTGGTGACCTGTTTCTGGCTGCAGCAAACGTACAAAGAACAGACCCCTCCAAAGGATGAGGTTACATGTCAGATCGTCTGATCTGTATGCTGGGGGGAGACAAATCTGCAAGTGTCACCAGGGATTTTATTCATGAACAAGGACCGTCAGCCTCAAAACGCCACATTAAAATACATCCTGCTTTGGTGCGTCCCAGCCCAGCAACAAGAACTATTCAATCTGGGCTTTGTTATTTGCCTTATAAGTATAGAACCCAACTTAGTTACACCGCACAGAAATCAGTTTATAAACACTGACCCAGCACAAACAGCATGTGGAATCTGAGAGTTCCACTCCCTGTGGGATTCATCACCTCATTCTCACTCACTCTGTTCTGCAGATATACAGCCTCACGGCCCTGGAGTGCACAGAGAGCTAGTTCACTGTTTAAAACAAAGATAAAATCATGTGGAATTAGTGGGGACCGAAATCTTCTCTCCTTGGAGCAGGCAGAGACTGGACAGGGTCGGTAAGTGCTTCCCCCCTGGCGAGCCTGTCACTGTGCCTCTATTATAAACTGGAAGGGACACAATTGGGGACGAGAGGGGAACTCCGGGCCCGTGGCCCATTCAATCCTTGGCCTGTCTGCTGAGACAGTCAGCGAGGGGGATGCCAGTGGTGTACTTTGTTTTAAATTGTATGCAGCAATTGACACACTGTGGCACACGTGCCCTCCCAACTCAGTGGGGTTTGGTTTCGCTGTGACTGAACAAGAGCCTAACTCCTTCCCAGCTGCCAAGGCAGGTATACGACTGATCGATCGAGCTGTACTAGAGATACGAAATACATTCCTACATCTACCATCAGTGCAAGCCGGTTCAACTGGGGGCAGAGCAGAGCACTAGTGCTGATCAGCTGCCACTTTGTCATAGGCAATGAGTCTGTCCAGGCGCTGTTTGGTAAATCAACTGGCTTTAACTGGGGTAGAATGATCCCCGAGGGCAGTGCTACTCAAAGTGGTGGTCCGCGGACCGGTGCCGGTCTGCGAGCCATCGGCGGTCGGTCTGCGCGCATATTGGGAAAAAAAATTGCCAGTCCCCCACCCATCAGATAGCTTGAGAAGCGCTGCCCTTGGGAATTAAGTCTCACAGCTCCCCAGTGGGGTAGGTATTCAGCTAGGGAAAGTTATAGCAATCAGAAGCCAAAAGTTACTAGATAGGTCCAGAGCTACTTTCACCCAGCTCTGCTTCCCCTTTTCCCCGCTCCAGTATTACAGGATAACTGAATGCAGACCACGGGGCCCTACCATGGGGTCTTGTGAAGAAACGCAGCGCATGGATACTCCATGGCCCAGCCTCTATTGGGATCTAGCTGGCACACTGCATGGTGGAACTTAGCTCCAAGGGCCATATCTCTACGCTGAAGACTAAGACAGCCACAGGGTTCAAATTCACCTTTGGTGTGAGAAAGTGCAAATTCACTGACATCAGCAGAGCTGCAGCGGCTTACAACAGCAATGAATCTGGCCCTAGGTGCAGCCCTTATATTCTTGGCAACCCAGCATCTCATTTGGGCAGACTGATGTCCTCCACTGCTGTAGGAGAATTCCCAGGAGGAGTCTCGAACCTGCAAAGGGTTTAGTCATTGCTCCTCATGCATGGTGCCCAGTGAGGCTCCACCCCGTCGGTGTGAAGCCCAGTATGCCCCCCGGCCCCCACAGACTTTCACACTCAAATAGCAGGGGGATGTAAGATTCCAATCTCCTCCCTCAGAGACTCCACCGTCTGCTCCCAGCGGTTCTCGTAGTAGAAATTCAGGACACAGCTGGCATTGCGGCCACTCTGAACAGCCCAGGGAATGAGCTCCATGGTCAGGATCTGCAGCTTCCTGCAATAAAGGTATGGAAATGGTTTTACTTTCTTCCCTGGGAACACAATCCAATAGCCAAACACATTACTGTACACAGCAGCACACAAGACTACTATACACTCTATCTGAGGGCCTTAAAGCACTTTAGCAGCATTAATTGACCCCCACCATGAGCAGGTCAAGCTCATTCTCCCCATTTAATTTATGAAGCAGTTATGGTCCAGAGAGGGGAAGTGTCTAACCCACGATCACACACTGAGTCAGTGACAGATCCAGAACAAGACCCACATCTCCCGACTGTCTCACGCTTGAACCACAAAACGATGCTGCTTCCCAGAAGCCAGTATGTGGGGTGCCTAGAGACAGCCCCAGGAAGAATCCCCAGGCCTCTGGGCTGAGTGGTGCCACTCATTGCTGTGATCCATTTTCTGAGTACATAATAATGTAATAACACTTCCATAGCACAGAGACTGGCAAATCTTGTTATCCCATTTTACAGTGGGGGAGATGGACAACCAGAGAAGAGAAGTGCTAAGGACGCACTGCGAAGTCAGAGGTGGACATGGGAATAGATCCCACGAGGCCTGACTCGTAGTCTTTAGCTTTAACTACTAGATAAAACGGTGCTTTCTGTTGCATGAAGACATTTCACTGGGTAGTGTTGGTAGGAACAGTGGTTCCAGACTGGAGGCCCTATTAGGATTCATGGCATAAATCAGACCTAGACAAGCAGGTTAATTCCCTTTAGGGATGTTGGACAGGTGCCATGAGACCTTTAATATTCTTGGGTGGGATAATCTCCTTCCACACCAAGCCCTCTTTGCCTATAAATATCTACGGAACATGAGTCCCCTCTGTCATGCCCACCTGCTACCATTTTATCTGGGATCTTGAAGACACACGTTATGGGAAAGAAAACCTCTCATTAATCAGACTTTTAAACCAGGCATAGGGTCTACAGAAGCCTGCAGGCTGATCAACCTACCGGGCATTGAGACGAACTGGGCCAAACACCGCTCCCAGAATGCACATGGGCAGGCCAGTCTGAATGGCTTCGAACCACTTCACCACAACCTCCCCTGGAAGAAAGCCAGAGAAGACCCAGGAGAATGAGAGCTCCCTATCTAGACGCATGTCAAAAACAAAGTAATTGAGTCATTTTATTTTTCACCCTCTTCTTCCTAGTGAATTTTTTCCTCAGCTGCCTGTCTGGGCCACCATTCAGAGTGTACTAAGATTGTATGCGTTTCCTCTGGGCTCTAGAAATAATCAGACCCTAGCTTCCCAGGTAGGGTGACCAGATGTCCGATATTATCGACTGTCTTATATAGGCAATTATATTACCCCTCTCCCCACCATGTGTCCCAATTTTTCACACTTGCTATTTGGTCACCCTATTTCTAGCTAAGGAGGGGCCTCCTCCTATTGGCATTTGGTGATGGCATGGAGAACCACTGTCAACAGCTCAGTGCGCCGCTCTGGATATGATGCAGGAATGGCTGGGTTTGGCTCTGTGACACCTGTGGAGATGCTCTACAATAATTTATGAATATTGTGTGTTGACCTGGTTATGGGGCTGGTTATCGTACAAATAGATTGGTTTAGTTTAATGGGATGGAATGCTGGGAAACACAAACGGGAAGGAAAAAGAACGGCACCAAAGTAAGCAACTTTCCAGCACTGGAGGGTTGTTAAGGGACAGTGGGTGAGGCTGTCTAGGGGGCTACCGGAGGGGGGTGGTAAGCCATTAGGTAAGAGGAGGTGTATGCAGACTGTCGGTTTACAATCCTTTTTCTTTAAATGCTTTGGTCCTATTGTTAAATAAACAATCCTCTGATTTAGAAGACCATCTGATCACTCTATTCACCATTGGTCACAGACTCCCACACAGGTGTCTGATCCCTGTCAGACCTGCTCAACAAGAATGGTTGTTCCACAAGGTGCTGTAGCCCAGAGCCTGATTGGGAGAATTGCAGATTTCCACCCTGGGACAGGTAAAGGCATGAGGCTGACACCTGCGGGGTACCCTTAGAGCAGTGGTTCTCATCCTATTTATAGTTGTATGTCACCTGGGCCGCAGGTTGAGAACCACAGTGCCCCCCCAAACCCCGACCCAGATCCCTATGCCCAACGCCTCCCGCCCAGAGACCCCTCCACAGAGTGGGGCCAGGAGCAGAGCCCAGGGCTGGGTGACAGGGACACTGGACCCCCAACCAGCGAGCTGACAGCCCCGACCCTGGAACCCTGGATCCCGTGGGGCCAGGCGGGGAGCCCCAACCCAAGATCCCGCTAGGCCAACCGGGCAATAGCTCTGACCCAGACCCCGCTGCACAGCTGGGCCACAGCTGTGTGCTAATTGGGCCGCATGCATCCCGCAGGCTGAGAACCACTGTCTTAGAGAGACCAGAAAGGGGACAGAGGTGCGGCTGGCCCTGTAACTGTAACATGCACAATGGATCAGATTCTCAACTGGAGTCAACGGGTTTGAGAATCTGGCTCTCTGTTTTCACTCTGACAGTTTGTGTATAGTCAGTTTTGCTGTTTTCCTTGTATAATCCGGTAGAAGCTGATCCAAAGCCCATTAGAATCAATAGAAAGGCTGCTACTGACTTCAGTGGATACTGGATCAAGTCCTTAGTTAAACTGACTTGTTTGTGAGGATCTCGCACCCAGCCTATGGGAAAAGGGAAGGAAAACTTGACTGTAAAAGGATAAAAACTGATCAGGGAACTCAGGGGCTTGAAATCACTATTCCAAGTGGCCCTCTAATTTACACTGTAAACCCAGGGTAGTAAGTATCTGGCCTGCTCGATGTTTTTCTGCTGCCCACTTGGCATATTTAGATTCTCCAGAATCTAAGATTTCTTTCCTTTTTTTTGGTAAAGCATGTTCCTATGTGAAGAAAGCCTTCAAAATGTGACCGGAGTGCAACCACTGCTCTGTTCTAATGCCCCAGTCCATGGCCCATAATTAAACTACACCATCTGGCCCTCTCCGCAGAATGAGCATGACACTGCTGATGCAAATATCCTTGCTCTTTTCAGACAATGCTGCAAATGGGAGTTTTGCTCTTGACTTCAACAAGAGCAGAATCAGGACCCTAAGCTCTCAAGCCAACTTAACTTATTCTGAGGCACTGCAGAAGGATGAGAGCACGCCAGGCCATGCGCTGGTGTGAGACAGACGCACCCGTTGAAGGTAATCAAATAAATAAGCACCCATACTGCAGACCTAACATTCAGGTCCTATACAACAGTTAAAAAGTTCAACCTAAAAACGAAGGCTCTGATTTTCAAAGGTGTCTAAGGGAGTTAGCTGCCGAAATCACATCATCATAGGTATTACTGTATTGTTGTCAGGCTGTTCAGGAACACTGAGCTACTTGCACAGGTTTGTTATTGTAGGGTTGCTCGGGATCCCCGAGCTGCTGGCATTCAAGCATATCAGAATATTAATAATACCTAGCTCTTTTATAGCACTTTTCATCGGTAGATCTCAAAGCACTTTGCAAAGGCGGTTACAATCACTATCCCCATTAAACAGATGGGGAAACTGAGACACAGAGCAGTGAAGTGACTTGCCCAAGGTCACTCAGAAGGTTGGTGGCAGAGCCAGGAACAGACCCCAGGTCTCCTGAATCCCAATCCAGTGCTCTATTTAACAGCAAGATTCGCAGCTTGGTAATCTTCATAATGTGACAAAAATAGATGGGGCTGGAAGGGTGGAGTAGGTCAAATGTCAAGCCTCTCAGCAGGCACCATGCCGTCTTAAAATAAACATCCAAACACTGGGAAGCCCAGGCTCCTGCAGGGTCCTAAAGGCTTGTTCAGCTAACGGCAGGTCAGCAATTTCAGCCTGCCACTTGCTATTAAGTTTATTCAGAAGACTAGACAGAGCTGATCTGCGGATAAGAGCTCAACTAAAAGAACTTTTCTCCTCCCATTCCCTTCTCGTGAATCCAGCCCACAATTGCTCAAAGCTCGTTTTGGCTTACGAAACTGTCCACTCATGCAGTCGTTTTCCCTGCACTGCAGGTTTCATCATCGGCCCTTCAGGGCAATGCCCACCCAACCTCTTCCTATTCAGCAATGCCAGTGACTCAATAAGCATCTCTCTCATGTAGGTGAAGGGTGATTGTTCCTGGAGGCTGAGGTTCTCTTTTTACCCACAGAGCAGATGGAATGCTGACAGCGGCAAAGCAAACGTGCCCCACGCCCTGCCTCATCAGTGGCCTCCAGCCCCAACCTGAAGGAGTTCAGCCTCCATGGCTCATTCAGTCCTTGGCCTCTCTGATAAGGCAGCCGACAAGGTGGCCACGCTGCAGGGACAGGTTTTGTGATGTGGACATCTGGTCACTGGCAGCCTAGCTGAGACCTCCCCAATTCATTTCACACAGCTGCATGCTAGACGGTAATGACTCTGGGTCGCACCCAGTCTGGACTCACCAAGCATGTTGGTGGGCATGCCGAGGAGAGTATGCATCAGGTCATGGACTTCACGGTACCGCTGGATCACATAGGCCAGCTCCTCATCATCAACAAACTTGACCGGCATCCTGGTGTCCGGAGAAACCCTCTGCAAAATCAGAGCATCCCAGGTTCAGCCCCTGCTACCTGCCAGGAATTCATGTTTCACAATGATTCTTTAATAATAATAACCCTAGCTCTTACATAGCACTGTTCATCAGGAGATCTTAAGGCATTTTGCAAAGGAGGTCAGAATCATTATCTCCATTTTATAGAAAGGGAAACTGAGGCACAGAGCAGTGAAGTGACTTGTCCCAGATCACCCAGCAGGCCACTGGCAGAGCCAGGGACAGAACCCAGGTGTCCTGAGTCCAAGTCTAGTACTCTATCCACTAGGCCCATTTAATTTCACTGGAGGCTCTCTTTAGGCTCCCCTGTCTGCTTTCTCCCTGTACTCCCAGATGGCTCAGACCCCCCTCTGGAGCCCATTCACGCTCTTCTCACCAGACAGATCAGCTAACGCCATCCACAGCTCCCAAACGCCCTGCTGCCTCCCAAGGGCTGCTAGGTCTGATACTCACATTACTGTCCAAAAACCGGACATATTCTCGGCCAAACGTTCCATCCGACAGACCCCGGAGCCCAGTCACGTCCAGGGTGGAGAGCCGGATCCGAGGCCGCTCTCTGCAAATAAAAAAACAGAGTGGCTGAGTCAACCCACGAAACACAGCAACTCCCAAGGGAAGCTGAGAAAACCAGGGCCAGCTGCCCAGACAGCTGTATTGCTGGAATTCACATCCTTGGCACGAGGGTTTTGCTGATGCCTTTCCCCATTGGCTCTTAAAGTCGGGCACAAACACTTTCTTGCCTATTATTTCACACCAGTGGGAATAAGGGCACAGAGAACTTAACGGGGACATAGCAGCAGTAAAGCTGTTATCTCACATTTCTGCAGCACCACTCATCTCTGAGGATGCCAAATTCTCTATGCACAGCACCTCTGAAATGCAGCCACCTCTAAGGCAACAGAGACAGGTACATAGCACCGTGCACACCAGTGGAGGCAGGGAGGGGTAAATTTCGCCAAAGGGCTTCACAGCAAAAGTACCATGGCTTCACGAAGCAAGCAGCACTTCAGTGGAGGGAAAAGTCTGTCCCAAAGGCAGACTGAATGCCCCCTCCTGCGGAGCTGTTGGTGCTTCAATAGCTTCAGGACCTATCACAGAGCACAGCTGGGAACAAGACCCACAGACAGAAGGCACCTTTTTCCGGGATGTTTCTGATTTTCAGTAAAGAAATTTAACGGAGGAGCCAATTCAAAGCACTGAAAGGCCAATAACATACTACCTTTGGTTCCGGGCTGAAACTCCCCATGTACACAGGCTAGACCTAGGCACTCTTAAGTCCTCCAAATAAGGATTAAGGGGGATTTAAGTTGTGCCTTGGACTTACCCTGCCTGTGCATCTGACGATTCTGTTTCTCTTGGTTGACACTAAGCTGCACTTCCTATCTCATGCACTATTATTATGTAGTATTTCATTGCAGTAGCACCCTGAGGCCCCATCAGGGTCAGAGCTGCAACGTATCAGGTGCGCTACAAACACAGAGCAAAAGGCAGCTTCTGCCCCGAAGAATTTACAGTGTCATTAAGACAATACATGAGAAGTAGGTGTAACGAGCAAACAGAAGATACAGAAAAAGGGGGACAAAGGAAACAGTAAGAAGAATGTGCACTTGCACAGACCCCGTACCAGCTGGCAGTTTCCTGTAGGGATGAGGCAGAAGTGTGTCTTAAGGAGGGATCAGAAGGACAGGATTAGTGTCTTTCCAAACCAGCGTGGGGAAGGGGTTTCGAGTGTAGGAAGTGGCATGGAACAAAGTGAACAGGTTGTTGTGGGAGAAGCGGACAAACCGGTGATGGAGGCTACAGTCGTTGGCGGGCTGATGCAATGAGATCCAGCAGCAGGCACACAGGGTGGAAGTTGCCATCGCCCTCATGAACTGCTGTGGGGGGAGCTCACATACACACAGTTTCCCACATCTTGAAAGAGCACATTCACCAGTAACAGCAGCAGCAAGGCTGAAACCGAAGAGGAAGTGGGCAGGCCTGCACACCTGAAGGAGGAGCGTGCCTAAGTAGGTTTACTGCTGTTCTTGGACTTGCCAAAAAGACCATTCTAAACATCAGCAGGGGAGCAGAAAATCTCTTGGGAATTAAACAATAATCCTCCTGTCCCTGTAAGTACAATGATTCCAGAGGCCTCCCCGTGTAGACATGAGCCTGCACTACGTGCCCAGAAGCGTGCGGTATAGATACAATTGCTCCAGCCAGAGAGCTGCCTCATAAGCTTGTCTCCTTCCCTGCCACAGGCCATGCATGATGGACAATAACGCACTGTAGGATCTGATAACCTTCAGGGTCGTGCCTCATTTTATCCCTCAGGCTCCGCAGGGCCGAAGAGCCAGTTGTCTCACCAAGGACTGCCACCATATCTGAAAAAAAGGGGGGGGGGAGAGAGAGAATGGATAGGAAACTGATTGACAATAAAAGAGCAACAGACAAACAGCGGTTCTGGTTAAGAATGAAAATCCTGAGGACACAAGATAGGGCTAATACATTTTAGGTACTTATGTGGCCTTCAACACTGCAATATCTGAGCACCTCCAAGTCATTAATGCACTTCTGTATGGTAGAGAAGACCTATTATCCCCATTTCACACATGGAGAACTGAGGCATAAAGAGACTACGTGACTTGCTGGGGTCACTCAGGAAGTCTGTGGTGAAGCACCCTAACCACTAGACCATCCTCCAACCTCTGGGGTTTAAATTGCCATGCGACTAGTCACAAGTGCTGCACAGAGAAGGTTCTGAAGATCAGGAGTGAGGTGTGGTGGCAGAGCTATGTATGGGGCCTGGGACTGGAACAACAGGGAGTATTGCAGATTGGGAGTGAGGTTAGCAGAACGGGGAGGTTTGGAATAATAAGGAATGAGATGCTTTAGCAGAGATGTACAGGAGAATCTCTCTCACTAACTGTCTGCATTAACAGCTTCTCTACGTGCCAGCCTCAATCTCTCAGTTTCTTAAATACAAATTCTTTCCCACAATGCAGAGATGAGGAAATAAAAGAATTAAAATCCCCAGGGAAACTCCCAACAGAACACAGATCTGGCTCCTAGGTGGGAGAGAAATACAGTCTGTATGAATGCAGAGACCACAGCTGGACAAAAGCTGCAAGATTCAGCTTACCATGCCGGTAGGGGTTGTAGAGAGCCATAAATGCTGAGCCAGCAGACAGCAGTGCTTTCTGCAGAGGGCTGGTGGGGATGTGCCCTGGGTACAGCTGGTAATACCTCTCTTCATCCTCATGCTCCTCTGGAGTCACTGTCAGGTCAGTGTGGGGCAGTTGATACCCCCTACCTGCAAAACATAGCCACACCAGGGCAGTGAGTTAACCAGAAAATACAGCTCAATTCAAAGACTCAGACAGTGTGTATCTGCCAATTTGGCTTCCTTTGTCCTTTTCCTGACACAGTCTGTACGCAAGGCCCGTTGGTGATCAGAGGTAACTACATGTCACTGGTTTCAGAGTAGCAGCCGTGTTAGTCTGTATTCGCAAAAAGAAAAGGAGGACTTGTGGCACCTTAGAGACATGTCACTGGTGTCTATAGTATCACCATAGCCCACGCGTTGCAACTATGCTCCATTATAAGCCCATACGCTTGGGTGTTCTAGCCAAGTGGGAGCTGTGGCTAGGACCTCTCTGGCTTGAACAACAAAGCTAATGCATGGTCCCTGTTACTGTTTGGATAACCAGGAATACACTTAATATAAGAACAAAAAACAAGACACCGCAACAAAAACAGAAAGACAGAATACCAGAGGTGCAGTGGCAGAGTTTGGGGCAGGTGGGACAAAGTAGCATAGCAAAGGATGTTGCCGGGATTGCTGTGCCTTTGCAAAACCGGGAGAACTAGGAAGCAGAAGACACCGCCAATCAGGCGACAGGTGCACTGCTGGGGAGCAGCACTGGCGCAACAGGGGGTGCTGTAATTCAGGACTCAGGGACATCGGCAGAGTAGGTGGGGTGCAGACAGGCCTGCAATGGTAAGGGGGAGGAGGGGGGGGCTGCACACCAGGTCTGAGGTGCACTGGCAGAGCTGGGAGGGGGCCCAGGACTGGGATAGCAGGGGGCGCATCAGGTCGGGGACGCTGCCAGCGCCTCATTTCCCATGAGCCCTAAAACGGAGCCGGATTCGCTTCTCCGTCCCACCGACACGGAGTCTCGCCGGCCGCCCGCCCCGCGTCCCGGACCCACCAGCCCCGCATGCGGCCCCCCGGCTCGGCGCAGCCACTTGCCTGCGGAGGCCGGCGAACCTAGGGCGAGGTGCCGCAGGCCGCGCAGCGAGCCCGGAGCCCGCCGCAGCCAGCCCCCCATGCGCGCCCGGCCCAGCGCAGCCAGCATCGGCAGCACCCGCTCAGCGGCGACTAGGCCAGAACTCGGCCCCCCGCCGTCCCGCGCCGCAGCCCCGGTGCATCATGGGCCGGGGCGGGATCCAGCCCCGTTGCTAGCCGGCGGGTCCCTCGCCGGGCCCGGGCGGCGCAGCAAGTCCCACCGGCTGCCCCGGGGCGGGACAGGGCCGCCGAGCGGCGGGGGCCGGGGCTGGCGAGACGGGGAGCGCCGGGGGCCGGCCGCTCAGCGGCTGGCCATGGGGCAGGGGCAGGCTGCTGATGAAATCCGGGCGCGGGTGGCGTCCCTCGCCAGGTCTCCTGCCGGGGCAGGGCTGAGGGGCGTGGGCCGGGATGAGGCTTCTTCCCCCCGCCATCCTGCCACCGGAGGCGGGGACCCTGGCGATCCCCGCCTGTGCCATCCCGCAGCAGGAGTGGGTCGGGGGAATACGGGGCTCCCCAAGGAGCAGACTCCCCCCCACCAGGGCCCAAGTCGTCACTTCTGTAGCTGCTGCCCAAAGCGTGGTCCTGGCCTGAGATCTCACCTGCTAATGCATGGCACATCTTGGCTACTGTACCCAGCGAGGATCAGAGCAGCCTCCCCTTCCCGAGATCTCCCCGGAACGGGGGCGCCTCCTAGCGCGTGCTCCCGGGGGGGAGCGCTTTCATCAACGCACCCAGTTGGCGGAAGCGCATGGCGGGGCCCACTGGGGGAGCGGAGTAGTTGATGAACCCGTACGGCGGCGATTTCCTGCCGCCATAGGCATGGCCGCCCGCAGGGTAGCTAGGACCGGGCTAAACGGGCTCTTCGCTGTGTACAAACCCCCCGGGGTAGCTTCGATTAGGGTGCGGGATATCGTGGAGACCCTGCTCCTGAAAGGTGAGGCCAGGTCCTTTATCCATACGCTGGAGTCCCTCCTCCCCACCCCCCTGGGGACTCCCCCCCCACACACACACACTCCGTGGGGATGGGGGGCGATAGGGAGGGATTTCCGCCCAAGTGGAGGGGGGGTGAGGGAGGAGACTTCCAACTTGCCCCTCAGAAGATTTAGGGCAGTGGTTCTCACCGGGGTGTGCCGAGGTCTTCGGGTGGGTACATCAACTCATCTAGATATTTGCCTAGTTTTACAACAAGCTACATTAAAAAGCACCAGCGAAGTCAGCACAAACTACGTTTCATACAGACAATGACCTGTTTCTATTGCTCAGTATACTGTACACTGAAATGGAGGTGCCATATTTATATTCCAATTGATTCATTTTATAATCCTATGGTAAAAATGAAGAAGCAAGCAATTTTTCAGTAATAGTGTGTCTGTGACACTGGCATTTTTATGTCTGCTTTTGAAACTTGGGGGTATGCAAGACAAATCAGACTCCTGAAAGGGGTACAGTAGTCTGGAAAGGTTCAGACCCATGGATTTTGGGGATTCTGAGACAGCCAAGTGCCCCCACTGTTTTCCTTCATCTCCAAACTCCCTTCCCACCAATGTGCTGCAACCGCAATTCAGAGACATTGGCACTTGAAGAAGCATGTTGGGTCAACAAAGGAGCCAAACGGGAGAGCATAAAGTTCCTAACATTATCTGATGCAGCATCCCTAGCAGCATTACTAGTTGCAGGATGGATGTGCATTTGGAGAGGGGCTACCCCTGTCAATTGACAATGCCCTCCTCTCTACACCTTTAGGCAACTTGGCCTGGTGTTAATGGTTCAGGCCATGGTGAGCTTGTGCTAGTGCATATAATCCTGGCCTTTCTAAAAGCCTGAGAGAACCCTTCGGACCTACTTATGCTGGTTTGCTGCCAGGAATGGTTGTGATGACCAACATTCAGAAGACCTAGTCCAAGCCTTGCATGAGTTCATTTGACAACTGAGTCCTCATCATAGAGAGGATAAAGCAAAGGGCACATCTCGTAGTTTGGTAAAATGATGAAGACCAGTCATTGTATGACACACATGCAGCTAAGACAAGTGTTGTTAGAGAAAGCCATTGTAGAGGCCAATCTCCATCTCAGACCTAGCAGCTGTTAGGCTGGCAATCCCTTAAGACTTTTTGTTTAAAATGAGGTATCCCTCTTCCTTGCTGAAGATGATATACCTATGTCTACTCATCAACGCGGTATCTGCATTGCAGCCACCAGGAGAACTTAGATTCCTTTCAAATGCAAAAGAGATGGTCTCTTGTCCCACTCACCTCCCTTCAGGGACTGTAAAGATGCTGCTTACTAAAATGGAACTCATACTTGGCTTTGAAGGACTCTAACCGTGAGCCAAAGACACTTGACCTTGTCTGCACACACAAGTGGTGCCACTTTAATTATATGGTAATATTCGTTCCCCTACGGGAAGGGGAATAAGTTGTACTGGTATAATGCACCTTTATACTGGTATAATTGCATCCACACAAGATGTTGTAATGGTAACTATTTCTGTTTTAAAAAAAAAAAATCACATTCCTAACCAAAATAGTGATACCATTACTGAGTCTGTGTCTGTAGACCAGGCTTTGAAGAGAAACTATGTATGTTTATCACTCCCTTCGCTGTATTTTCTTTTCAGACTGTGCCCCATTGTTTTCCAGGAAGACCATCAGTGGGGGTCTTAACTGGACTTATTTGCAAGATAAGACACTTTAAAAATATCAACAGGGGCTTTCTTTACCATTTGCTGTAGAACTGAACTCTCTGGAACAGCCAGCTGTGCAGCAGCAAGTACGCTTCCTGCCCACTACTATAGAAGGAAATGCTGGGAAAGAGCTGACCCTCGCTGTTACCCAGTTGCCTGTCCTGGCTGCCCACCCACTAGGTAAGAGGCTGGAGAAGAATCTTGATTTCTGTGGAAAAGCTGGTGTATACCATTACTATCATTTATAGATTTGACTTGCCCAGTGAGAGAAAACAGTCAGAGTAAAAGAGGAATAAGAATTGTTAATTCCCTTAGATTTCAGCAGCTAATGATTATCTGTTAGCTGGTAATCACTGCATTCAAAGGGGATAATCACAGTGCAACCTGCTTGTAGTGAAGAAAAGAGTGAGAATCCATAGGAGAGATTGAGGACTTCCATTCTATTTTAGGCAGTGATTTATTAGAAGTGGTTTCACTATGTGCATGTTGTTTCATAAGATTTTTAACGCCTTGGAATCAGCAAGATTAAATTGCATTGGGACCACATATACTGCCTGTTACCATCATATTGTTGTTCAGAAAAGCTTGGTATATTTCTTTCTTTATAGTGAAATTAAATTTTGTGCATGCCACAAACCATACACTATATTTCTTTCTCTTGTAGTTAGAGGACCAGAGCTCACTCACTTGAAAATCGGAGCAGGTCACCGTCTGGATACAAAGTCATCTGGAGTGTTTGGTATGTTTTGTTTTGAAAAAGATAAGAATATAGCTTCATCATGAAAATTACCTGGTACAGGATAGAGGGGGTATTAACAGACGATAGGCTCACAAAACACTGTGCTGGCTACTAGCAGCATCTGAGGATTTTGTAGGGCAGGGGCAAAGGTAGAAATGGTAAGTTGCAGTAGAAACACACAAATCAGATACGATTGTTCTGAGAGGGTCCTGAATCATAAGCTAGGGAGACAAGAATAACTAGTTATTCTGAGAGGCAGTATGGTCCAGTGGAAAGCACTGAATTGGGAGACTTGGCTCTGTCATGTGTGAACCTGACTGCTCAAGTGTCTCTGTTTCCCTATCTGTAAAATGGGGATAATGATACTGCCCTTCTTTTGTAAGGTGCTTTGGGATCTACAGATGAAAAGCACAAGATGACACCAGCACTTAGCTCTTTTTAGTTCTGGCTTTAGAGGCAGTCAGAGGTTTGGGTGTGTGGTGGCAACTCTCAGCAACAAAGAGAGAGGCAGAAACAGTTAGACTATAAATTCTGGGAACATAGATATTGCTTTTTCTGTGTCTGAACAGTGCCAGGGGAGACTGTGGTGCTATATAAAAATGTTTATGCCCAAATAGCTTTTTATGTGACTGATTAATGGCCTCCTGTTGTTTTTTGTATTTCAGTGCTTGGAGTGGGCCATGGGAACAAGCTGCTCACTGATATGTACAACGCCCATCTTACTAGGGTATGCACTGGCATTGAACCCTGTTTGGGTACTTCTGTGTGTAACACCCATTCTCACTAGAAATCAAGGTCCCATTAGAAATTACATCAAGAAAGAAGAGGCAAATGTGGCCTACTCTTATTAAATCATATGAGAAGTAATAACACACACAACTGTGAACCGGGACAAATCACTGAGATTAAGCAATATTAAGTATTCCTTTGGGAGAGGAGGGAAACCATATGAATGGCCTGGGAATTGGTAATGGGATGTGGAGCTTTTTACCTGTAGGTCATCTGTCTGAATCTTGCCTGGGCAGGACCAAGCAAAAGTCATTGCTATCTGGAGGCTTCTGTAAAACAAACTGGGTCTCAGTCTATTTCTAGTGGGGAGGGAGGTATCCACACTACACAAACCACATTTGTCCTGTTTGTTGGCAGTCCTGGCAGAGAAGCCAAAGGTAGAATGAGCTCTGGAAATGACACCCCCCACCCCCACCAGTGTGTGTGGGGTGCACTCTGCCTCATTCCCATTTGTGTGTTTATCCAGCTGTTGTACCATTTTATAGGCCTAGATTGAGAGATGTCTAGGGCAGATCTCTAGGACTGTTGTACTCATTTGTACAGTGCTTAGTACAATGGGGCTCTGATCCCTGATTGGAGCCTCTAGGCACCAGAGCTGTATAAGTATTAATGATAATCTTCATCGACATTGCCATGAAATCATCATTCTAGTGGTTTGAGCCTGCAGATTGTAAACAAATGGGAGTCATAAAAGTGTGTTCATATGAGACCATATGAGCTTTAAGAAAGCTGTAACCATTCCAAATCAGAAACTAGTTCAGGAGCCTATGAGGAGCCTGGGGAGGTTGAACTTCTCTCACAAAGCATAATGCCTGCTTCTATATTGAGGCAGCTGCCAGCAGGAGTGGTTGTCATGCTACATTTGAGTATCAAACAAATCACCAATGATCCCAAAGCCATTAGCAGGTCATATGAGATAAGAGGCACCACTCACTGTGCAGAGACTGCAGCTTTCCTTTAGAGAAACTTTCCTGTCCTGTGATGCCCCATAGTTGCT